ACTATTAGAACAAATCCCTCTATTCATTAAGAGAATGTAGCTATATATCTATCCTAACCATTTTGAATACACAGATACAAAATGGTCATTCATCTGTATCCCCTTTTTAGTTTAGTTCCGTCATTTAAATATTATAGGTGTGTAAACTCAGCAAAATATTCCAAAATAGTCCAGTAGTCCATAATAGTATTTCTTTCTTTCTTTTTTTTTTTTTGTATTTTAGGAAAGGGTCTACAGGGTGTTCAGGGTCTCACTATCTCACTGCTAGACTGGACTCATAGTGATCCACCTGTTTACAGCCCCCCAAGAGCTGGGATTACAGGCATGCGCCGCCATGCCCAGTCTCAATTGCTGTCTCAGCGCACCGTGGGGGTGGGGAAGGGCCAGCACAGCAGGTCTAGGCATCGAACTCCCTGCCCCTGTGCCTGCTTGCAGGCACTTTAATCTGCTAAGCTATTTGGCTGGCCCTAACAATTATAATCTTAGAACTGAAAGTAATCATCACATATAAGGACATGGTATGTGGTCATGGCTGGCCACACACCTTAAACAAAGGGCACAAGGATGAAGACTTGTTCTACTACTTCCCTGCCATCTGCCACCCTACCCCTCTTGGAGTAAACACATCTAAGCAGTCTCAGGATGAGAAGCCCCTCTACCTCTGTATTCCTCCATCCCATACAAGAACTGGCTTTGGCACTGGTCTCAGGAGCCAGAAAAGGGCTACTTTGGATAAAGGATGACCACTCTCTCCATTCTCCTGGAGGAGATTCAGGATTTCTACTGCCACTGTTAACAATTCTTCCTCTAGCAGAGCTTTTCGATTTATGTCAACATTTCAGGGTTAGCTAAATTGCAAAAGATAAAAATGGATTGTTTTATAAACCTTTTTAAGAATGAACTCCACACAATGACTTTCTCCCCTAACTGGTTGCCTAACTTTTGACAGTGTGTGGATGAGCCTCTCTCTCCTGAAAACACTTTTTCACTAGATCTTGTTCCTATGTATTTTCTTATATCCTAAACTTACTTCTTATCACTAGTTCTGTTCCACACAGCAAACATACTTTATAGAACAATCTCTCCTTTGGAGTAGGATTACATTTGAACAGTTCTTAAGTACATATAATCACACAATGAAACAAACACTGAGGGATGGCTAGTCCCTAGGCGGCATACAGTGCAGTCTTTGCAAGAATCCTGATCCAGAAGGGACTAGCCAGATTCATGTATTGAGGTTCTAGCATCTTCTTGCTTTGACTCCTAAGGGCTGAACCGATCGTTATTCTGGTTCAAGTCTTATTTCAAGGCCTGGATTCAGTGAGCTCTTCCTCTAAGTAATCTCAGCAGTTCATGCACCGGATTATTGCCATTGTTTCCTTTACTTTCTCCCTGTGTTGCTGGATTTGGGTTGGGTCTGTGAGGTCCCTGAGACTGAAATAAGAGGCATATCCTACCTTTCAAAATGTGAGAGAATATGTCTTCTGTCACAGAAAAAGAATTTTTAGGACACATTAGTGAAAGAGACACGAATACGCAATACGTGATTACATTTATTAGAGATAGAGATACAGGACATAGTCAAACACAGAGTACAGGGTGCTCAGAGAAATGAGGCACGCTGTAGTTGGAAACTGGGGATCTATATGTTTTTAGTGATGGAAATCTGTGGAATTTGATAATCTATAGTCTTAATTTTGTCTAGTAGGTAGAAAAGGATGGCTAACCCATAAGATAATGTTCACTCATTTAGGAAATCCTAATTCACAAGGGAAAAGGGGTCTACTCATAGGTGAAAGAGGATACTTACAAGTAAAAATAAAATAGAAAAATCTATTTGTAGGTGAATGGGAGCTGTCCATGTTTACTATGTTCTAGGAGAAAAAGACTGTGCATCAGTAAACTGGGCTTGTGTCCTGAAGCTGAAATTCTTCTTAAAAGTACAGCTTTTTAAGCCACAATGTCCTTGTTTCCTTTCCACCTAGTTTTTATTGCTTCTGTCCCACCTCTCCTGCACCACCACCCCTGGGAGACTCAAGAACATGGGCAGGGTCTGTGGATTCCTTTCACGCTCAGCACCCAGCACCGGTGACACTTCCAGAGATGCTCTGCAAGCGCTTAGCAAAAGAAGCAAAGGAATGGGCCGGCATCACGGGATCTGTGCTAGGACCAGGATGCCGAGGGTTCGCGCCTGCCTGTCTCACTGGCCATCCTCACCCAGGAGCAGGTGTCAGACTTACAAGACACCACATCAACACAGAGACATTCTTAGTCTCATGGTGTTAGCAGTTGTAAAAAAAAATAAATCTTTCAGGCTGGGGTGTAGCTCAGTGGTACAGGGCTTGTCTAGAACACTTAAGACCCTGGGTTCAACTCCTACCACCACAAAAGCAAGTAAATACATTTTTAAAAAATGTTCCATAAATCTTTTTCAGCACCTCACAAAAAACTCAGGACACCTCCTTGCTGTCTGAGGCCCTGGCACACTGACATCTGGGGGTAGATGGTTCTTTGCCATGAGGACTGTCTTGTCATGTGTACTATGCAATGTTCAGAGCAACCTTGCTCCCCTCTCAGAAGACC